CATTCTGCTGTGGAGTATATGGGGCTGAAAAATTATGAGTTGTTCCCTTCTCAGCAAGAAAATCTTTGAAATCTTTGTTTTTGAATTCCAAGTCGTTGTCGCTTCTTACGTTACGAACAACTTTCCTTAGTTAAATTTCAACCTACTTTATGAAGAGCTTGAGCCTTGGAGTAGCCTCAGATTTTTGCTTCAAGAAAAATACCCATGTGAAGCGAGAGAAGTCGTCGACGATAACCAGAATGTACTTGTTTCCACCAATGCTTTCAATGGAAGAGGGACCACACAAATCGATGTGTAATAGCTCCAATGGTTCTATCACCTTTGTATTGATAATGGAGAGATGACTTTGTCTACTCTGCTTTCCCATTTCACAGGCTGCGCATAGATGTCCTTTGTCGAATTTGAGAACTGGAAGACCTCGAACATGATCTCCTAAAACCAGCTTGTTGATATCCTTGAAATTAAGATGAGAGAGTCGTCGATGCCATAACCAGCTTTCATCTGAATGAGCCTTCGTGAGTAAGCAAATTGCTGGTTTACCTCGAATTGGGTTGAGGTTCAAAGGGTACATTTCCCCCTTTCGCTTCGATTTCAGTAGAATGTTATTTGATTTTCTTCTCAACGATTTTTTGAGCCTTCATCATCAAACGATACCTTCAATCCAGTTCCAACTACCAGCTGAGATACGCTGATAAGATTGTGTTGGAGCCCTTCACCATACGCGACCTTTCTGATTGAGAAATCACAATTCGTAATCATTCCATAGCCTTTGATAGTTCTAAACGAGTTGTTGCCATACTTTACAATACCACCATCCTTGAGAGACCTAAATTCCCTCAGTTCTTCCTTCCTTCCTGTCATGTGACGCGAGCAGCCACTATCAATATACCATTCTTTGTCAAACTGATCGTCACGCATAACCTGCAGAAATTAAGCAGATTTAGGAACCCAAAGTTTCTTGGGTCCTTGTGAGCCTTTTACAGGAGAGGGAATAGTAAGAGAGATATCAACCAAATAAGTACGTTTAATTAAAGTTGTTTCGTCTTTTCTTTTTATAGTGAAAACTTTAATTTTATTTGACTTAGATTCGATAGACGTAGGATTTGAAGTGTTGACGTCTGCATTCTTTTGGAACTCTTTTGGACGTCTGTTATCTTCTGGAAAGAGCTTTCCTTTCCCCTTTAAATCTTTGGAAGAATAAGAATTGGAATGAGAAGAGTTAGGTTTAGAAGCGACATTGGATCTTCTGTTCGTTTGATTGAACTTGTAGGTTTGAGGACCGAAACCTCTCTTTCTGTTGATGTTGGGTTGAGGACCGAAACCGCTCTTTCGGTTGATGTTGGGTTGAGGACCGAAACCACTCTTTCGGTTAATGTTGGGTTGAGGACCGAAACCTCTCTTTCGGTTCCTTTCAGTCGAGGGACCGAAACTACCCTTTTGGTTCATTTCAGTTGAGGGACCGAAACTACCCTTTCGGTTCCTTTCTTGCTGCGAACCTAAGCTTTCCTTTTGGTTCCTTATCTCCTTTTGTTTTGAAGGTTTTTCATAGTGAACATAATTAGGATTTTGAGATCTCCAGAATTGCTTCCTTTCGGTAAGGTTTTTCTTGTACCTCACATTTCTTTGATGCTTTCTTTCTCTCACCTGTTTTCGGTTTCTGTGAATGTTAGCCTTTTTCTCAGAACTTTGAGTATTAACATTGCACCTAGGTGAATTGGTTTCGCTTGAAATAACCACTTGCTCATCTGAAGACTTTTTAGTCCCACTTGTGCTCGGCTCATCAAAACGAGTAGGATCATTAAGTGGTTTGGCTATATATCTGCCTCTCACTCTCCATGTGGTCTTCTGTGACAGACCTACTGTTTCATCAGCATTGTCAATAGGTGCTGACCAGAAGAATTCATCACATCCGTCAGCATTATCTTCTGCTACTATCGCCGTCAGTTCGGCTGTTTGTTGCTGAGTTACTCCATTAACCTTGTATACTTGATTTGGAGTGGATTGTACCTTTTGATACACAACCGATTTTTCTTTAAGGACTTTGGTCGTGTCTTTGGATAGTCGAGCGTATTCAACTGAATTTTCAGAAATTAGATTTTTGTGGGTTTTAGGTTCGCTCTTGACAAACTCAGAACAGTCCACCACATCCTCTATAGAGATTTCACTCAGATCATCGTCCTCATTAAGTTCAGATGCACTTTCAACATTAATTTTATTTTCTGAACTTAATTTGGCATTCAATGAGTCAAATTTCTGTACAGTTTCGGCTCTTAACTTCAATCTATCATTCTCATCTAACAGATTTTTGAGCATGTCCTTATGGTCCATGGACTTTATGTAGGATTCAATTTTGTCAAGACCGATTTTGTATGTAGGTGAGATCTCATCAGAGGATACAACACTTTCACAGATGTAAGCTTCAGCATCGATTTCATCCTCCTTTAACTCAAGGAAGGGCAAAATCATGCGATGTATCTTCTTTCCTATTTCACAATCGAGATGCAACTGTGTGATATTAAAATAAAGTCTTTTAGCAATCAAACAAAACACATTTCGTTGTTTTAACAGTTTAAGATTGTCTCTTTGCAAATAAATCGACTCATCCTTAGACCTAATCAACTCTTTTTCCTTCAGCTCAATCCACATCCTCCTTTCCTCACTCTTCGACGATACCCTGCTAATTTGATCAGTCAGGTTAGAGTTTGTGACACGGGTTTGGGAAAGACTACTACTTATACTAGAAAATTTAGATTTTAAGCTATTCAGTTCCTTTTCATAGTTAGTAACAGGTATTTTTAGAGAAGCAAGAATATTTTGTACCTTCTTGATCAACTCATCACATTCATTGATCTGTGTACTAACAGGTTTCGTAGCAAAACACCTGTCCTCTCACTCCTTCTCACCTTCTATTCCTCCATCAGTTGTATATCCTCTCATCTGGGATACACCTTCGGTCACCATGAAACACCTTCCAGCAGTGTGTTCTTCTTTTACCAGCATCGCCTTGCCATGAGTGGGTTTTCTTACTTCTTCGTCCTCTGAGTCTGTGGACCATACTTCCACGCCATTGAATTCATCACGGTAGTCTGTATCCTGTATAATCAAAGCATTCATAGTTTTATTGTTAGCAGCAGACTTTCTTTTCTTGATATCCTCCAGTCGTCTCATGAGGCTCGCTTCCTCATCATCATCATCCGTCTTTTCTGCCCTCTTTTTCAGCATGCAGTCCTTGGCAAAGTGATTCTTGCCTCCACAGTAATGGCAATCAAATCCTGAGTCTCCACCAATTTTCACTTCTTTCTTGGACTCTTCTGACTTCGACGCTATCTTCGGTTCCTCCTTAACCTTTTCAGCGCTGTAACTTCCCTGCCAGTTTCGGTTCTTGTTGGCTGGGAACTTTCTTTTAATGAACTTTCTAGGATTAGACACCATCAGGGCATACTCTTCACCGGTTAGATCGTAGTCGGCAAGATCCAATTCCTCTTCTTCTTCAACAGAACTTTTTCCTTTAGAAACAAGGGCTAACGAACCCAAGCTAGAAACCACATTCGTTTCCTTAGACAGTGCACTTTCATGGGATTTCAAAATTCCCACCAGTTTCGCCAGAGAATACGATTTAAACTGTTCATGTGCTTTAACAGTAGATACGACAGCCATCCATTCAGGTCTTAGACCGTTCATGAATGTGACATTCTGTTCAATAACCTTCCTTTCGATCCCATGCTTTATCATCTTACTTAAAAGATGATTAAAGCGATCAAAAGCCTGAACCAGTTTCTCTTCGGGATTCTGTTTGAAATCACCAAATTCATAAAGCAAAAGAGTTTGAATCGAATGTTCCAGATCTGCATCAGTGGAATACAATTCTTTTAGCCTGTCCCATATCTCTTTAGCTGTAGTGCAAGAATTCACCAAACGAAACGTATCTGACTGCAATGCAAACCTAATCATTCTTAAGGCTTTAATGTTACATTTAAACTTCTCTTTCTCGTCTTGAGGAATGTCTTTCACATCACTCACAAGCTGATTGTACTCTTTTTGGGTTTTGACAATCCTTGAGGTGTTTGAATGAGCAAACGGGCCAACTGTGATAGCTTCCCAGATCAAGTACCCATTATCTTCTGAGCCAATCACATAATCTTCGAAGTGATGCGTCCAAACCTCATAATCCTGAGTGTACAAGATTGGAATCCTACTCGTTGATCCGATACTGTTGGAGATGTTAATTGGATTGGTTTGCGAATCATCCATGGACATTGTGATGAAGTTTGATCGATAACCTATTTAAGATCAGACTTGTAATTTATCGTTAGAGAAAGATCGACAATTAATGAGATACACCAATATGGAATGACGGCTCGATTAATATCAATCAATGTGGAAAAACCCTAATAACTTCTTCGACAGAAGAGATGTGTATGAATTACATAGTCTCCTGCTCTGATACCAATTGAAGAGAATAAATCTCAGATTGATTAGATCTTTCACAGGTAAAAGATGAAGATCAAACAAAACAAACACAATAATATTAAGAACACAGAACAGAATCAACGTTATGCTTATGATTCAAATATAGTCACGCCTCAGCAGAGCTCTATGAAGAACTTCCACTATAGAGGCGAGCTAGGGTTTACAATCCTCAATCAGAATAATAATCAAAAGCGTTTTTACAAAGGCTGCATGCATGCAGCTTAAATACTAAAGCCTAGTGAAAACATGCACGGTTGGACAGGCCCAAACCGGCAATCAAAACTGGGCTAAGGACCGAGCCCATGACGCAACACTATAAGCCCAACAATAATAATTATAATAATAATAGAAATAATAATAATAATAATAATAATAATAATAATAATAATAATAATAATAATAATAATAGAAATAATAATAATAATAATAATAATAATAATAATAATAATAATAATAATAATAATAATAGATTAAAGGAAAAATAGTTATTGTATAAGAATCACTAAGGGGCTATTACATTCGGATGTGGCATGCCCGGCCGGATGGTTAAGCTTGTGACACTGTATGTGGGGAACCCTAGTTCGAACCCCACCCAAGTTTTTTTAGTCCAGTTTTTTTTAGCCCCGTCTTTTTTTTTTCCTTTTAATAAAGCTTCATCTTAGGGCAAAAACGCGATTTCCTGCTCCAGTGCTCCCGACTTCTCCTCCTTTCTTCTCCCTTTTCCGCCGTCTCCTCCATTTTTCCCGTCCTCTGCTCCTCAAACGCGACCACCGCTCGTCCGGTCGATTTGCTGCCTCCATCTGCGAAGAACAATCGCCGACGCAGGGAGACGAAGTCGAAGATGCAGACGAACACGAAGTCGAAGACGCAGACGAACACATCCCCTTGTTCGACGAAGACGCATCTGCGTTCGTCGACCCTCCTTCTCCGTTTTTCCAACCGGCAGTCCTGGTCGCCGTCTCCATCTGCCCTCCCCATCTCACCGGTGCATCTGCCCTCCTAATCTCACCGCCTCCTTGCTCGATTTCTTCCCCAAGATAGGTAAAACCCTTTTTTTTATATTACTTCATGTATACACCTTTAGATGCTTAATTCATTGATAATGTTGATTTGCTTTGTTGAATGTGAGGTTTTAGATTATATTTTAGGTCGAATTTGAGGTTTTAGGTTAAATTTTGGTTGAATTTATTAAAATTCTGGTAACTAGTGAAGCTGATCATGGCTTGGTTAAATTCATTAGGTTAAAATTTTGTTGAATTTAGCTTAATTCATTGGTTAAAATTTTCATTTTTTAGAGCTGAGCAAACCACCTCGTTGTCTTTCCTTGGCCCATCCCATTGCAGAAAATTGATGTTCTGTTACTAATAGTTGTTTTTTATTTGTTACAGATGTTCTGTTATTGACCACTACACAATCTATGTTTGAAGTTCAATTAAACGGTTAGCTTTGGCCATTCTTCCTCTACTAGGTAAGTCTTGAACACATTAAGGTAAACTGACGACTCTTTGTTTAACATCCTTTTTTAGCTAGCATGTTACATGGTTTTTTTGTTCATGGCATTATTGAATACAACTTTAGAATAATTAGGGTATATATGTTTTGAAAAAGTAGTCATTAGGGGCATTCCAACTGATATTAAATTTTTGATGCCGTAGAATGACAGTAATCTATGAATAATTAATAAACAATGAATAAAAGTAGGTTGTTATTTTGGCAGGTTCTTCCTTTAGCCCGTGAGTTTTTGTAGCTGCTTCTTTGTGCTAAACTAATGTTCTTTTATTTTGAAGGTGAGTATACAATGGTTCATTATTTTTTACAATAGTTTATTATTTTTTACAATCTACCAAGCAATTTTATTATAAATTTATTGCAGGTTTATATTAACATATATTAAAGCATGCAGCAAGCATTCTATGAATCAAAGACGAGGTATATCTTAACATTCTCTTAAATAAATTAAAAACTTCAAGTACTAATATTCTTGGATTCTATAATATGCACATATATAATATGCACATATCAGAAACTTTGCATGTTCCCATTGGTTGTATATATGATTATGTTATTTAATCTTTTAATTATATGTCCAAGTTGTATAATAATAGTGTTTAATATCTCACATATTATACTACTACAATTCATATATGTTTCAATCATAAAACATCATAGTAACATCTATTGTAGATTATACTTTTTCATTTATTGGTATATACTGATACCTTTTGAAATGCTTCGCAGAGAATCACGAAGGGAATGCACTCTCTCAACAGACGAGTTGATGTAAGCAGATTCCAAAGCTGTCAAGATTAAACGCGAACTATTAAGACTAAGTACCTCAGCAGCAGCCTCTTCAGTGAGAGAAGAGTTAAGTAGAATAACAGCCCGTTTTAGAACATTATATTAATTATAACATTATATAAATGTTGGTGCATCTATGCTAATAAATTCACGTTTTTATGTTGTTTCTTTTACTAGTTTGGGACAATTGTGAGTTGAATGTGGTATTTGACAAAAAATTGGAAATTTTTAAAATTTTAAATATATTTTTTTTTAAATAAAACAAAGTTAGCTACGGAATAGCTACAGATTTCCGTAGCTATTTATTTTCGTAACTATTCCGTAGCTATCCACTTCCGTAGCTATTCCGTAGCCATTTGGTTCCGTAGCTATTTAATTCTGTAGCTATTCTGTAGGAAATCCGTAGCTATTTATTTTCGTAGCTATTCCGTAGCTATGGTAGCTACGGAAAATTTCGTAGCTATTCTGTAGCGATTCCGTAGCTAATCCGTAGCTATAATTTTCCCACGGGCCATTATGCTACAGACATTTTTCCGTAGCAATTCCGTAGCTATTCGCTTATAGCTACGGAATAGCTACGGATTGTGCTGTAGCTATTGCACCAGTTTTCTAGTAGTGGGTCTCGATCTTTTTCGGGTTCGGTCTGAGACCGTTCCCTTTGTGCAGGTTTAACCCATAGTTGCACTCGATCCACCAGCAGTACAACCCAACAACCACCACTACAACCCAACAACCACCACTACACTCAGTGTGACAGCACCGGTGAGCTATGGGGAAGCACAACAACGATAACAGAAGTTGTTAGGCAGCGCATGACGATTACAATACTGCAGTTTTCCACTGGTGGCGTACTAGCGATTCAATTTTTTTGTCCTTTATTGTGATATAATAGTTCTTCATTTAGCTTTTTAACCTAAATTATTTCACCATGGCCTCATGAAATAAATGCATGTGGTGTTTGTTTTTATTAAAAACATGTAAACCTTGTGTTTAATTTAAGTAATTTATTTTGAAAAGTTATTAAATCTAAAATGGATTTAGAGTTTAAAATTGTTTTAATCAAAACCTATTGAAAAATTTATTGTATGCATGCAATTTATTTGTAATACTAAATTTTATAAATGACGGTTATACAAAATCAACACGTTAAATTTAAAGCTTACAACTCAATATTTGAAACAACCTGTAGGTACAAGTTGGATATGGCCAAACCTAACCGTGTGCCGCCCCACGATATATTTTTGGGTATTGTTATACCTATCTCAGATTTTTTTAATCCTACCCCTGTAATTATTATTTTCTAGGTAGATAACAAAAACCTAGACATCGTATTCCGCGCCACAAAAACCTAGGCATAGTATTTCGTGCTTGTGAGCTGGAAACTTCAAAAATCCGAGTGCACATAGGGAGATTCAAACTCGGAACCTCCGGGCAACAACACATATTATCTTTAAACACTTTACCACTGAGCTGGATCGGAACCCTTTTTTGTTTAATTAAATCAAATCGTTTCATATAACCTATAAAGAATAATAATAATAAACATAATAATAATAATAATATTTATTATTATTATTATTATTATTATTGTCGCCGTCTTATTATTATTATGGTTTGTATTGTATGAATACGCATAAATACATATCGTATACATATAAATATGAAATAAATATATATGTATACTTAATAATATGTACAAATACACATAGTTATGTCTTTTATAAATATAAACTAATAAAACATTAAAAATATATTCAAACGTCAAACATTTTTTTGTTTAAATCTTTTGTTCAATTAAAATTAAAGATTTTTTAACTATATAAAAAAGGATAAAAGTTTAAAGATTTTTTGGTTATACAAATAAATAAAACGTCATATTTTTTTAAAAAAAAAAGTCATATTTTTTTAAATTCGTCGTTTGAAACAGGAATACAAAAACATAATAATTACGTCAACAATGTTTTTTTATGTTAAATAATGTCTTCAAACAAAATGTAAAAAAAATATATATATTTTTAAAGGGAATTTCTTTATACACATCAGTCTATGGAAAACCTACTACACACCAGTCTAAGTCTATGTGCTGACATTTTCTTTTTTCTTTTCCCATGCAGTCAACTTTCGTTGGCTTTTATTTTTTCCAATACAGTCAACTTTCATTACCCTAGATAATTAATTTTTTTTTGTTTTTTATCTTAAAATGTTTATTTTGTAGGGCTTTAAAGTCAACGAATCTAAAAAGAAAATAACCTCAACAAAAAATCACGATCTGCAAGTCCGTTCACTCTCGTTTATGCTCAAGAAGAAATTTAATTTTACTGGAAAAATAAATTTTATTGATATACACAAATCAAATGCACAAAATACCATAAAAATTAAAAATTATCATCCTATTTAATTTACTGTTCAAATCAGAAGTAAAAATTATACACAACAGAAAAAACTCCACTTAAATACATCGCCGGAAAAAAAAAAACTGTGGCAGCATTTTTGGACGGAAAACCCTCGCCGGAGCATTTTTGGACGGAGAAAACGTCGCCGTAGCAGTTTTGGATGGAAAAGGCGTCGTTGGACGTGCATTGATAATCGGAAAAAACGTCGTCGGAGCCTGTAGTTGGCCGGAAATACTCAGGTATGTTCTTACTCTCACTTGATTTAAAATGAAATACCCATTTGGTCCGATCGGAAAACGTGTGAAGAGAGAGTGAGAGAGAATACAACGATCGATGGTAGCGAGGCGGTGACTTCGTGGTCCGGCGAGGCCGCGACTCGATGGTCCGGCGAGGCGGCAAGGCTGCGACGTCGGTGGCTGCAAGAGAGGGTGGAACCTGGAGGAACTTGGATGAATGTGAGGATAAAATTTAGGGTTTTATGTATTTATGTGGGAAATATGGGTTGCATTTGTCGTGGGCTTTTGGCTAAAAAAATTAAACTTTGGGCTTAAGACAAATTAGACTTTGGGCTAAACAATATAAGACGTTAGCCTATTCAAACTTTCAATATTAAATCAGATTTTTCTTTTAAAAAAAATTGTGTTTTTAATTAATTTTTATTATTTTTTAATAAAAAAATTCTTATTTAATTTTGCAGGAGAAAATGGCGAAGATTTCAGAATTTTCTACCAACGAAGTATGTATTTTTAATATGTAATTTATATGTGTATATTTATTTGATATATTTATCGATTTTTTAACTCTTAATTTTTAGGTTTTTAGATCTCTTGAAGATTTGAAGAATTGGGTACAAAATATTGCGCGTTCTCAAGGTTATGTTACATTCACTAAACGATCGAAGGCAGCAACTTTTGGATTCAAATCTAAAGTATTTCTTTGTTGTGATTGTAGTGGTATACCCAGAAGTAAAAATGCGGAAACAAAAAAAAATTAATTGTCCATTCGAATTGATAGCAAAGTATTTGAAGGCACAAGATGGTTGGAAGTTATAGGTCGTACGTGATGATCACAATCACGAACCATCAATATATATGGAGGGTCATTCATTTGCAATGCGATTGTCGGATAAAGAGACTCGTTTGGTACATGATTTGACAGAGCTGAATGTTAAACCGCTAGATATTTTGTCAACAATAAAGCGGCAAAATGAAAATAACGTGTCTTCACTGAAAACTATATATAATTGTCGCCATAAGTTTACGATATCTCAACGAGAAGGTAGAAGCCCGATACAAAATCTCATGCACATTTTGCATACTAAAGGGTATAATTATGAGTACCGTTTAAATGAGAGCACTAACGAGTTAGAGGAGTTGTTTTTTATGCACCCAATATCATTATAGATGTGGCAAGCATTTCCGTATGTGGTGTTGATGGATGCTACATACAAAACAAACAAGTATAATCTTCCTTTTCTGGAGATTGTTGGTGTCACTTCTACGAGACTAACGTTTTCCATAGCTTTCGCATTCATGCATAGCGAAAAAACAAGCAACTACGTGTGGGCATTGACTTGTTTGAAACTGACGATTAACTATTCTTTTTGTCCTCGTGTCATCGTCACAGATAGAGATTTGGCGTTGATGAAGGCGTGCGAAGATGTTTTTCCACAAAGTAATCATTTACTTTGTAGGTGGCATATATTCAACAATATAACAAAACATTGTAGGAAACGTATCAAATCAGATAAGACTTGGGGTTCTCTTCATCCAATGTGGAAGAAATTAGTCGAATTCCGACACCGAGTGCATACATGCAAGCGTATGCAGAACTTCAATCGTTATTGTCCAAAGATCCAGGTATCATTAATATATATCCTAAACTCTTAATTTCTTTAATAATTATTATTCATTCAATCATACTAATTTGATTTTTCTTCACATTTTAGTTGTTTTTGGGTATCTTTACAATACTTGGTTGGAGAAGTATCCCGACAAATTTGTATCATTGTGGACCGACAAAAGCACCAATTTTGGAAATTCAACAAGAAATAGAGTTGAGAGCCAGCACGCTAAGCTAAAAAAACACCTGGCATCTCGAAAACGTGATTTGGATAAATTCATATATGTTATTGAAACAGTTGTACAGTCACAAGACACAGCTATCAAAGAGAGTTTCACAAGGAGCATAATCATTCGTAAGCCAAAGTTTAAGGATGAGATATTCAATTCACTACAACATCATGTTTCAGAGCATGCTTTGGATAAAATCTTGGAAGAGCTTCATCGGTTAAAAGGATTTGTCCCAACTCCTGAGAATTGTGGTTATCAACTACGAACATGTTTTGGTTTACCATGCGCTCACGAACTTGCGATGTATGCCGATGCAGGTATGTCACATGTATTGTATTAAATTGACAAGGTTTATATGTATAATCAGTTTATAACATTTTGACTTTTTTACTATAGGTTCACCTATTACGTTGGATTCAATTGATATTTTTTGGAGAACGCTTGATTTTAAGCCTTGTGTATTTGTGGATTATGGAAATCTTAATGTTGATGATCATATGCAAAGGTGGAAGGAAAAATTCAACAATCAACCAGATCATGTCAAATACAGTTATATAAGAAAGATGGAAGAGATAATCGATCCTTCAAAAATTATGATCAATGAACCTTCGGCTAAGAAAAATAATCGTGGACGCCCAAAAGTGAAGCGTGGTCACCATCAAAGTAAAGCTCCTCACCGATACAGTTGTTCAGACTTGAATCAGGAACCACCTACGCATATTTCATCATTCTTCGACTTGAACGATGAACCGACTAGGCATAGTTCATCATTCTTCGACTTGAACGATGAACCGACTAGGCATAATTCATCATTCTTTGACTTAAACGATGAACCAGCTAGGCATAGTTCATTCTTTATGGGCATGAACGAGGAACCAATAGACCAATGTTCGTACCAGTTTGACTTGAATGAGGAACCAACATGCCAATGGTCGTACCGGTTTGACTCGAAAGAGAAAGCAGTGAAGGAACATAGTTCATTGTTGAAGGAAATTCCATCAATATTTCATCCATACATCACGCGTATACAAAATGTAAGGGGTGATGGAAATTGTGGTTTTCGATCGGTAGTTGTTTGTCTCGGGTATGATGAAAATGAGTGGCTTTTCATTCGCCAGCAATTGTATGACGAGTTATTGACGTCATATGAAGACTATTCTAGAGTTTTCATTGGATGCAATGGAGTACTTGATTCATTGTCTTTCTTCATGACAGATAGGACAGCACCACCAGAACACTATATGCTTATGCCTGAGACAGGTATCCTGATAGCCAACAGGTTTGGTGTGATTGTCCAATTTTTTACCACAGTGGACCCTGTAACCTTTTTCCCTCTATGGAGAGGTCCTAGTGAGTTTCAAAATCATTGTGTCCTTACATTTGCACTTGTATACATCAATCACTATGTGATGGTACAGT